TCATCTTGGCACCATGCAGTCCCGTGACAATGTCATTATATTAATTGTTTTTTGTCAGCAAAATTAAATAAATGCATATTTCCTTATATTAGCACTGTTTTTAGCAAGCAAGCAAACAATAAAATATAATAAAATAATTAATATTTATTTTCATTACTTGTTTTTTTGCATGCAAAATTAATCGCATATTTTATTATATTACTACTGTTTTTTGGTTTTTGCAAGCAAAATGAAATAAAACAAAACAATAAAAGACAATGAATATTTCATTATATTAACTGTTTTTAAGCAAAATTATATACTACCGTTTTTTGCAAAATAAAAATAAAAGATAAAAATAGAATATTATATAATACATTTTTATTATATAATAAAGGATATAATAAAATATTTCATTATATTAAATGTTTTGCAAGAAAAATGAATTATACTGTCACACTGTTTTTTTCTTTGTCTTTTTGCAAACAAATAAATAAGTAATACAAATAAATAATGTAATTATATAACTATATAGGGCTCTTAAAAGCATGAAATAGCGTGATATATTTTTCTATGGTAGTCATTAGCAGGGCCACCATTGAGGTCCCCGAGGTCCGGACCTCTGTATTTTTCCAATAACAGAAGTTGTAAAATAATTACCTCATATTAATTCTGCTTTGGTGCTGCAAGGATAAAAAGCCAAGATAACAGATCTTGTCATCTGAGATGCCTCAGCAGTAGGGGTGTGCGATATATATCGTCAGCGATAATATCGTAATTGTTTTTTTTAACGATGTGCGATTTGACATTATTGAGTATTTTGCAAAAACCAATCAAAACAGCCCTACAAAGTGCACGCATACATTACTTGAAGTCTAGACTAGTGCGTGTGCGCATTTAGAGTGCGTTCTTTCACTGCATGATTCAGTCTATTAAAATGCATTTAGAATGATCACAAATTCAAGACATGGGGGCAGAAAATGTATATATTTATACCACTTCATATAGTTAATCAATGTCACACAAAGAGTGCCGTTTTTCTCCAAAAATTCACCGGATGGTCGAAACGCTGCAATAAATACTTTTATGGAGCAGTTATACCAGTGTGCAGACATCACGTTTGTTATTTTTCTCCCAAAATTACCATGATTGCAAATCTGATATAGATTTTTTACAACAGCTCAATAAACGAAGTTATTTAAGAGACTTACGTTTTAAACACTATATTGCCTGTTTTTGCTCTATTTCGCCAACACAAATCATTCCAAACACAGCCACAGCACTGATCTGCATCTCTGAGTAACATGATGGTGTTTCGTTCCTTAATGAATCAACCGTTTAAATGATTCGGTTCAATCGCAACAACTCACTTATTAACAGTGATTTGCTGCCACCTACTGGCGGTTTTAATTTCACATTTCGACTTTTTCCGATTTTTTTCATGTTTTAAAAAATGTCAAATATCAGTATTCAACGTTTTATATTTAATATATCGAAACGTTATTTATGCATTTGTAATTGTAGGTTAAATGCATTCAAGTCTTGCATTAAACAGTGTGTAAATAATACAAAATGCTAAATGCTACTTCAGATGCAGCTTCTGTGTTGATTTAATTTGCTTGGCAACAGCCCAAATGTCTTATTATTCTAATTCACTGATTAAATGTAAGAATTTGACTCAAAAGATAATGGACACTTTTAGAAAAAATGGCTTTATAAAGGTAAAACTGCCCATAAAATGTAAAAAAGTCAGTTTAAACTTATTGGAAAAGATTAATTTCTATCAGTGTGAAAAAAAATAATATATATATATATATATATATATATATATTCATGTTTAATCATTTTAGACATGTGATTTTACTGAAGGCTACCAAGATAATTATAACTGAGTTTATTAAATTCATAAACATAAACAAACTATATCTTCTCTATTTCCAGTTTGTAGCGTGGATCATTCATTGCAACATTTAATCCGATTCTCATGTTTAAGAATCTGTTATCTTGAAAAATTATTTAAACTACTACTGCCCACTGACTTGGTTTTAAACCTATATTATTATCCAATTTATGAGCCTTAAAATGTCTTCAAATGCACACATGTAGGTCAGGAAAATCTAAATTTTCTCGGGGGAGCATGCCCCCCAACCCCCCTACTAATCTCCATGTTGGGACCTCGGTATTTATAAGAAACTGCGTACGGCCCTGGTCATTAGTCAATGGTTTAAAACTGTCCATGTGCTTCTGGTGACTTCAGCCAATCAGCACTATCACACAACATACATATACAGTATGCAAATATGCCTCCTTCCACATACTCATATTAGTAACAGAAGAAAGTATAACAGTGTATATACCGTGTTGGCCATCTGAAGTCCGGGGTCCAACGACAGTCCCATGATATCATCATTGTAACTGGATTCCAAACTAATGATGTCGTCAATGACATCGTCCATCTGAGAGAATCAAAAGCAACAGATATCACCAACTGTCAGAGCTCATCCACTCAGCTAGAGTACAACGCATAGTGAAGTCAATTAATCCTGGAATAATGCAAGAGTTCAAATCAACCCATAGCTATGCTGAAAATCACTGGTTAATCTGGCGCACATCCTAAAGAGCTGTGTATTTCCTCTCAGCGTGCCAATGCCAGACTCTGTCTAATCTATTAACACTTGTTTTAGCACATCTCTCTCTCTCTCTCTCACACAGTGAGCAGTGACGCAATCCACGCCAGCTGCTTCAGCGAGACGTTCACAGAGACGCAAACCGTGAGGCTGGAGTCGCTTTTACTGATTAGCAGGTAATGAGCTCTAAAATGACATCCTTATAATGTCTCTACCTATTTATACATCATTTACTGATGTCGCTGGATTTGTGCTGTGCTCTTGGCGAACCTGTCATGATCCTGTCGCCTCTGTCTAGTCTTGTTTATGGCGCTCATGTTTTGTTCTTGTCTTTGTGTTGAGCACATGCTTTCTGTTTTGTTCATTTGCCATGTACTCAGTATTACATCTTGGCTCATTTTTAGCTTCCTCATGTCCTCCCCTTCATATTCTCCTTGTGTGTTTTGTCCTGGCCTGGTTTGTCTTCTCAGTCCCGTCGGTCAGTCTTGCTGTAGTCTAGCTGGAATAAACACTACCAAAGGGCCTTTTGGTTTGGATGTGATCTATTATATGTTTATGCCCAGTTTTGTGGTAGATTTAGGTATTGTTGTTTTCAATAAACATCACAAAATCAAGCACTTTCAACACTTTCAGTGCTCTTTCAGCACTTGAGTTCAGTCTTAAATCCTGACATAACCTTATATAGAGCATGTCTGGGTCATTTTTTAATAACGAAAATATTTTGTAACATCTTTGCATTGTGACTCTTTTCATGACAGTTCAAGGATTCATAATTTTTTTTACAGTCCACTTATAAATGTCAGTAATGTTTTTGTACAAAAAAAAAATCCATTAGCATTCCATAAAAATATTTACCTTAAATATTTAGCAAAATATATATTTTGTTTATTTTCTCTTTTGGTTCGCTTACTATTAAATACGGTGATATTTCACTTTAATGGTTTCTAAAAAATAATGGCTCCATTAGTATAATTGCTGCAGATTTTCTACAATTTTTACAAAGTTATTTGATATTTATAAATTGTATTTACTAGTGCTGTCAAACGATTAATCGCGATTAATCACATCCAAAATAAAAGTCTTTGTTTACATAATATGTGTATGTGTACTGTGTATAATATTTATTAAAATACACACACATGCATGTATATATTTCAGAAAAATAAGTTGTTTATATTTTAAATATATTAAATATATGATATGAATATAAATATATACATGTAAATATTTTCGAAATATATACTGTATGTGTGTGTATTTATATATACATAATAAATATACACAGAACACACATATATTATGTAAACAAAAACTTTTAATTTGGATGCGATTAATCGTGATTAATCGTTTGACAGCACTAGTATTTATACTTTTTACTTTTATTACATAAAGAAATCCATTAAAATTATGTAAAAACATGATTTTTTATGTTAAATATTTTGCAAAATATATATTTTGTTTATTTTCTCATTTGGTTTGCTCGATTTGGTTCATTTGGTTCAATTTTCTTCAGAAATATCATGTTATATCCACTAAAAGTATAAATAATAGATTATAATCTCACACATATATTTTGTGCACTCAGTTTTTCAGTTTGCTTGAAATTGCATGCAAGTTACTTAACAGCTTTTACAATGTCTGCTTTATGAATTGATGATTCTTGAGTTCAAGTAAGTCATTTACATATATTGAATTTATTTAAAAAATAGGTATTACACCTGTTGTACAATATGTTTTTTTTTTTTTGTTTGTTTCTTTGTTTGTTTGATTGTTTTAGAAAAAAAAAAACAGATTTTGGATAAATGGATAAACTGGATAAATGTCCTCTTGATTTTTTCTATATTTGAACATTCTATATCCCCAATGACCTGCTGTCAAGGAGTATATTAGTTGTCCATCAACTATGCTGAAGGCATTGTTATGGTTTGTGATATTTTTATGACTTCGGTTCAAATAAACATTAAAATTTGAGGTTAACCCGATCAAGAAAACAACATTTGGTTGGCCAGACATGAAATTATGAGTCAAAATGATGAAACTGTCAAACTATGTTCTGATAAAATACATAAACTGAAACCAACAGTTGTTTTATTGAGAAACCATACTGTTTTTACACTTTCCTGATGTGTGCCCTAAATAGAATGACTCTAATATAGTAACAACATTAAAATAAAGTATAACCCTCAGTATACATGTGTAAAATCATGAATTAATATAAATACAATTTATAAATATCAGATATAAATAAATCTGATTAATAAATATCAGATATAAATATCAAATTGCTTTGTAAAAATTGGACAAAGTTATACAACAATTATACTAATGTAGCCATTATGTTTAGAAAGCGCTGAAGTGGAATATGACAGTGTTTTGTCATCACCTCTTTCTCGCAGTTGGAGTTGAGGGTCAGTAAGGCCATGGGACTGTTGGGGGCGCTGTTGCCCGGCCCCGGAGGCATTCCCCCGTGGTCAAGGGCCTGTCTGGGGCACGGCAAGCTCACGGCCTGCGAGCCCAGCTTTCCTCCCAGCCCATGTAACGCATTTAAAACTACAAAACTACATTCTAATTCATTTTGCGGTGCTATTATGTAAACTCCTACTTTTTTCTCTGAGGTCGTTACATTATATTTGTGAAATAAAACAAACACACTGAACCACACAGTTTCAAAAATAAAATGTTGGTACATTTTTGCACTTAAAAATGCATTAACATTTGTAAAAATAGACTTTATGTTCTTTAGATAAAATATTTTATGAAATAAAATGGTTATATTTTAAATAGTAAATGGTAAAATATTTAATGAAATAATTTTGGTTATTTTCTCTATTGGTGCTGTTATGTCAATTGTTTCTGTTTTGCTGTTTTGTTGTTTCCGTTGTGAAATAAAATAGACACTCTGAACCACACCAAATTAATTAATTAATTAATTTCTAGATCTAAAAATGACAGACAACCAGAAAAGGGTAAATGTCTAAAAATGTTCCAACTTTTCACCCTTAAAACCATGTAAACATAATAATTCACCATTTGTAAAAAACAAAAATATATATATATATATTTATTTGTAATAACGTATTTTATGATATTACTTAACAACAACAACAATAATAATAATAATAAAATTATTATTCACAATAAAAAAACTAAAAACAATAACCTGAATCATTTTATCCCACTTCCAAGAATTCTGTAATCACTGTTCCTTCGTCAAATCAGTAATAATTACTGTAATTTTCCAAAATAGCCTCCTATTCTATACATAGCTCAGTTATTCATCTCTTAAGAGTCCTCAAGTTCCTCCTCCACATGAGCCATGCAAACATAATGACCTTTACACTCAGAGGTCACGACTCAAACCACACTTAACAAGTGTGCAGGACAAACAGGACAAGCCCTAGAGTACAATGGTGTGAATGAATCCTCAACTATTTGATCAACTGAAGCGAGTATCTATTAAATTGACTTGACCAATAAAGAATGCAGCTGGTTGTGCCTAAAAAGGGGTGAATAACTGATTAGTTTTGCCTGTTGGACAATTAACACAAGACACAACACTACTTAACTTGTGCTGTTTTATGTCAAAATATGCCTTTATGGAGCAACTGTGACGTCAATGTGAGGTTGAAACAATGGAGTCTTTCTGCGGCTCATAGTGACTCCAGCAGCAAACGTCTCCCACCTCCGTCCTGTGAACAGAAGAGAGCCTCTGCCTGCCTCATTCAGATCTCAGCGCTGCAAACGTGAGAAAGACTGACGAAACACGCGCGTGATCTTTCACAGCTCAACTGTCACGTACATTTCCAGCTGTTCTCTGAGGAACGATAAAGTATGCATGACTAAACCGAATGTGCTCTGAAAACAGCGTCCAGTGTCTGTGCTAATATGAAGGAATTTCTGTTTGGATTTTTCACAGGTGTTTTACCTTCATTTTGAATATTTGTAATTGTGTGTTGTGTTGTTTTGTGTTTATGGGTGAAAGAAAATGTCTATAAACTTACCATACTGTAAAATATTACTCGTATCTTTTCCATTTTTCTACAGATTTTGTTCTTTCAGTGTGGGCACCACCGACTATCAATGTACCAAACACACACACACACACAAGACATTTTTCAAAATACTGTATCTTCTTTCATGTTCCACAGAAGAAAGAAAGTCATTCAGTTTGGATCGACATGAGGGTGAGTAGATGATGACAGAATCAGCATTTTTGAGTGAACTTTCCCTTTAAACACTTTAGTATAGGAACCAATTCTCACTATTAACTAGTTGCTTAATTGCATGTCTATTATTAACATTTTGGGTGTTTATTAGTGCTTATAAAGCACATATTCTGCATGACCATAGTCTACATCCCTAATCCTACCCAACACCTAAACTTAACAACTACCTTCCTAACTATTAATAAGCAGCAAATTAGGAGCTTACTGAGGCAAAAGTCATAGTCAATGGTTTGTTAATAGCGAGAATTGGACCTTAAAATCAAGTGTGATCTATTTTTCTTATGTTTCTAGTTCTAATGCATCCAGGGAGCAGAATATCTTATAGACTTAGAGGTTGACTTTTTAGACTTGGGACAGTAAGCGACCACCTAGCAACCAGCAAAAGCACTAGCAATCACATAGCAACACTGAGAACCAATGAAAACCAGAACAATATAGCATGCCGTTGAGCTTGTCATAACAAAAATCTAGTTGTTTAACTAGTTGCTTAAATTATAAGATTGTATGATCTCTAAGAAACAGAGAATTAGCAATAAATAAAGAACTATGACTTTTGCCTCAGTAAACTCCTAATTTGCTGCATATTAATAGTTAGTAAGGTAGTTGTTAAGTTTAGGTATTGGGCGAAAATTCTGTCATTAATTACTCACCCTCATGTCGTTCCAAACCTGTAAGACACAAATTAAGATATTTTTGATGGAATCTGAGAGCTTTCTGATCCTGCATAGACAGCAAGGATATTACCACGATCAACGCACAGAAACGTAGCAAGGCCTTTAAGTTTAGGTATGGGGTAGGGTTAAGAGATGTACAATATGGTCATGCAGAATAAGGCATTAATATGTGTTTTATAAGTACTAATAAACAGCTAATATGCTAGTAATATGCATGCTAGTTAATAGAGCTTTGGTCCTTAAAGTGTTACCACAATTAAAATATAGTAATTTATCAAGCAACATTTTATTGAAACTGTGAATTATAACATGTAATTTATTATAAAATGTAATAAATTATATTTTATAACATATTCACATAGATTACAGTTATAATAATATTTCATAATATTCTTTTTTTTTTCAAATAAATGTAGCATTGGTGTACATAAGAGACATCTTGGGGCAGACCTTCCATCTTTTCTCTTGAAATAAGAGGGGTTTATTCTCAACATGGCCTGAAGGGATGGACTAGAGTCAGAGGTTGAGGAAGTCAACGTTTCAACCATAAAGCTATAACAATTCTACCCTAAGGCAAGAATTGAGCAGAGCACATACAAAGCACTCTTTAAATCGATGTGCTGTGCTATATATGCATACTTCTGAATGGCATTCATAAACAATCATGAGACTTTATGAATGACTTGTTCAAATGGCCATTTACAGCTTTGGTTGAGCCAGTGCAACTCAACACATCCCTCCATTAATCACAGCTTACTGAATGCTCTGTGTAGTGCGGCTAATAAAGCCATCGGGGATAAATAAAGCTTTCTAGACTTAAAAAAGAGCAGCTTCTAGAAGTAGTACAGCATTGTGAAATCGATGACGTTAAGGATGATATTAGGAAGTCCGAGTTAATTAATGCGCTTTTGTTGTATTTTGGGGTACCTGATGCAACCACTGAAACTGCTAGGGAAGATATGAGGAAAGAATGTGAAGCTATTAGGAAGAGTAAGGATCAGGGCGGCCCAGTCACTGATACTTAAGGATGTCATTGATTTACCACCTTATACTGCGGAAGAAACCTCAGTTTTGATTGAGGGTGTTGGAGGACAGTATAGGTCGGTGCCTTTGCAGGGTGTTTTTGAAGTCTAGTTTGGTCACAGGAAATGTCATTATGGGAGTTATGTCTTCCTTGCCTGTTAAAGGAGTTGGTCTGTTGCTTGGTAATGACCTGGCTGGGGATCAGATTTTTAGTTCTCCCATTGTTAGTTCAGTCCCTTGTGAGGTCCCTACCCTGGTGGAGTTAGAAAAGGAATATCCTGAAGTATTCTCAGCTTGTGCTGTTACTCGCTCACGGTCTCAGCAGGTGGCTTTGGAGTCTGAGGGGAAACCAGAGATAGGACCGGAAGTGGCAGTAGACGGGGCCCCTCAGTCTGAAGAGAGCCCCGTAGACCTGGGTAATACCTTGTTCTCCCACTTATTTGGTGGGGTGAGTAGTAATAAGTTCAGTAAGGATGCTCTGGTTGAGGCTCAGAGGATTGATCCAGGGTTAGGTCCGTTGCGAGAAACTGCGGTTTCTTGGGCTGAGAGCAAGGATATAGCAGAAGGTGTATATTGGAGGGATGGGGTTTTGATGAGAAAATGGCAACCCCCTGATCGCCCTGCCACAGAAGAGTGGAGTTTGTTGGAGCAAATAGTGGTTCCACAAAGCTTCCGTGAAGATATTTTGCGGCTGGCCCATGAGACACCTATGGCAGGTCATATCGGTATTCAGAAAACCCATAGGAAGATTTTGCAGCACTTTTACTGGCCTAAACTGCATAAAGACGTGGTGGCATATTGTAGGTCATGTCATGCTTGTCAGCTGGTTGGAAAACCTAACCAGAAAATTCCAATTGCCCCTTTGTGTCCTTCTCAGGTGTGAGGAGCCTTTTTCTAGGGTTCTGATAGATTGTGTGGGTCATTTGCCCAAGACAAAGAAGGGACATGAGTACCTTTTCACTATTATGGATGTGACAACTTGCTTTCCTGAAGCGATCCCTTTGAGAAACATCAAGGCTCGAACTGTGTTGGATGCATTGTTGGGTTTCTTTTCTAGATTTGGTCTTCCCCGAGAGGTACAATCAGATCGAAGGTCTAATTTTGTATCTGGGGTGTTCCAAGAAGTTTTGCATGAGCTTGGCATTACTCAGATTGTTTCATCTGCATATCATCCTCAGTCCCAGGGGGCCATTTAGAGGTGCCATCAAACCATAAAGACAATGATTAAGACCTACTGTGCTCAGTTTCCGGGGAATTGGGATGCCGCAATGCCTTTCTTGTTGTTTGCTTTGCGGGATTCTGTAAATTATTCCACAGGGTTTACACCTTTCGATTTGGTGTTTGGGCATGAACAAACACGTGCGGGGTCCCTTAAAGGTTGCGAAAGAGATGTTCCTGAAGTCTAAAAATGAGACTACCTTGTTACAGTATATGACTGCTTTTCAAGAGCGTCTCTGGTCTGCTTGTAAGATCGCAAGGGAGTCATTGGGTTGGGCTCAGACCCGTATGAAGACCCAATATGATAAAAAGGCAGTAGAACGTACCTTTATGGTGGGAGATCAAGTGCTTGTGTTGACACCAATGCAGGGGGACAGACTCG